TGTACAGCGCTACGGCCATACTGTACTACATCAGATTATTAAGTTGTTGCAGAAATTCTTGCAAAATTCGAAGAAAATTTGGCAACTTTTTTCTCTCAAACCTAATTTAATGCTTTATACTGGTGATTAAAAAGGTTGCTTTATAATCAGTGAAGCCTTCCTGTTAGTTAGGTCTAAAGAACCATACTTTCAATAGAACACAATGAATTTGTTGATTTCGTCGTTGTAAGAATATTCGTCATTCTGCAAGGAAAACACTCTCTTTATTGACCTTTCTTCACGATTATACAGGCCAGACACAGAATTTTGACGCTTTACTTCTGCTAGTCTTAAGATAGCTTTTGAACAACTATCGTAAAATGCAGATCTCTGATTTTAATTACGACGCATGAACTCAGTTCAAAGATTTGATGATTCGAAGAGTTGATGGATTTGATTCAATTCAAATACGAACTACCGCATTAACCCTTATATTTGGAACTCATTTTTAGAAGCATAGAAGCATTTGAGTCTGTCAGTGAATTCTTGACAAATTCAAAACTCTTTTATTTTGGAGTTTTTGCATAAATTTGCAAAAGCGCATATAGACTTCATAAAAAATAAGGCTTTTCTCATTTTGGTTATTACCTTAGAATAGTCTAAGGAACACACAGTGGGAAAACTGCAACCAGAAACATGCTAAAGGTCAAAAATCGGCTTAGTCCCAGGTCACCTTGCTGATGGGAGAAATCGGCTTTCGATTCCACTCAAAACAGAGATTAATCCCATTTTGTCCCATTCTGTGGCCGTATTCATCGTTGCTACCTTGAGGTAAATCCTACCTCCAGGTAGGATTATCACTTAAAACCCGTATTCATAAATGTGCCCTAAGGTAAATGCTTAAGGTCGAATCAGTCTTGAAAACAATTTTAGGTGGAATAAATTTTACCTCAAGGTAGCCTTATCAGCGATAAATCGGTGTCCATCAAACTTGATATCTTTGCCTCAAGGTACATTCACAATAGAAACTCTAACCCTAGCAAAAGGCAAGGTTAGAAGTGATACCTTTAGAAATGAAAAGGTTTTCGAGGCTGTTTTTTTTACACGAACACTGCAGTGAGAAAACTGAACGCATTGCAACAATTTTGTCTAATCTCGGTGAGATTAGCTAAAGTTATAGACATGTAAAAATTGGTACTACACTTCTCTTCAATCCTATCACTATGTTATGAGTGTTTTAAGACTCCTGTGAAAATGAAGTACCGAACCAGAAAAAGTCATACACATTTTTTATTTGCTCCAACAGCGTTTTGAGCATTATAGATCCTATCAAAACGTATTTTAAGCATAGCACAATGAAGCCACAAGCTTAAAAGTATAACCCAAAAACAATCGCTTTGCAACCCTGTATTCAAGAAAAGCCAGTGCTGACGTTCGTGTAGCGCAACTCTACAGCCTTGTTTAGTTGCTCAACTCAAATCCAACTGAAGTTATATCACTCAGGAACATGGCCAGCATTTCAATTAAGATGAGTTTCGGCTCTAAGGATCCGAAAAAATAGGAAGTTTTCTTGCCTAACAAAAAAAATTCTAACCTTTTGCTCTTTATTTACTTTGCTCATACATTCAACTTCGACTCACACAATTAGATGTTGCCCCTGATGTATGAGTTTGTAATGCAAGCATCGGAATCTTCACAAAGGGCTTTATCACAAAATCTCATTTCAAAATTTTAAACTGTCTTGATAAAATCATATTTCCGTGATTTGGAAAGAATGTTGAGCAAAAATAGTTCACTAAACATCGCGCGTCCTCCTTGCATTCAGAAGGGCTTGAAAAAAAACTTATCATCTAGGGATTATTTCATGCGTCAGTCGATTGGCTGCCGCTGCTGCAGTCTGCAGCGAATACAGTATGAAATAACTCTAAGCTCATCAATAGACTAGGCAAATCCCTAGTTGTGACTGTCTGCGAAATCACTTTTATGAAGCATGCCAAGAATGTGAAAAATGTTCGATGCCGGACGAGCACAACATTCTTCAGGCAGGTAGGCATAGCAGCAGAGAAATTTTTTTCTAGTATAAGTGAATTCTACTTAAAAGAGATAACCCAGAAGAGTTTTGAGATCTAGAATTGTTGAATATGTGGACCCTATCCCATCTAAGTCACCAACATTCACTCTAAAGACATACGTATTTTGGCGTAATTATCATGCAGATATGAAAAAAGCAATTCACCGCAAGTACGCCATGCCATTCTCTGAAAGACGTCAATGTTTATCATGCTGGCACAGGTAATTTTAACCTTGAGAGACAATTGATGAACGCAATTGTAACTTGAGGTAAATTTTACCTTGACGTAGCTTCTCAAGGTACCTTATATTGCAGTAGGGTTCATTCTCTCACCATTGCAAACGAAGCAGCTAGAAAAGAAGGTGCCATAAACTCGCACATTCTTCAAATCTCAGACCCTGAGAGCTTGCTCACGAGCGGCGGATGATTTTCAGTAAATGAAGACCTTTGAGGCAGCCGTGATGCCATCTATCGCGCCCTTTGATCCTCAACACTAGAATACACTAAGCGAGCAGAGATCCTCAGTTCCGCCCCCAGTAGTAATTAAGGGCCACGGCCGTCAACTCCCAATATCTGAGACGGCACATTGGCCCATGACGTTAATCGAATGTTTTTAATTTGTTTATTGTAGCAATTGATTGTTTACTGAAGTAAGACTAAACTTATAGGGTCCTAGCGTATGCTCCTCCATTTGCAATAATATTAGGGTGTCTCAGAATTTTTTACCATTTTTGCTACAACCGCTCTCTTTTTGTATCTTTCGTTCATCTGACGCGGCTTGGATAATCATCGACAGGGCAAAGCAAGCTCTACAAGATGGCTATCAGACATCTGTCCAAATCGTTTCCCACGTGAAGTTTTAAGCTGAAATCTGATAGTAGTCAAAAACGAACTTTACTGTCAAAAATCGTATCTCGCCCCAAAGTAGCCAAAAAATTCCCCATTCATCCTAGCATATGCTTGGCACATCGCAAATTCAATTATACACTTTCCGAATCTTTTCCATGGCTAGAAATAAAGAAGAAAATGAATGAGGTAAAATGGCAAAATCCGCTTTCAGAATTCCTGAGCTTCTCCCACGCATATGATCATATGGTCATACATACAACTATCATGTATTTGTATCCTTTGTGGCGCCTCAATTCTCGAGAAGTGCTGATATTTAGAGTAAAAACGGAAAAAGTGGGACAACCTAATATTTTTACATGATCAATTTATCATTTCTGCTCGTACTTCTTCCTTAACTAAGATACAACTCAACAGGAATAACAGCCGTAACAAAGTTTCCAGAAATTTTAAAGTTGAATCTACTTACCGCAGGTCTACCTATGCCCAACGTAACCTCCCAAATTCATTCACCGTGGAAAATTGCGCTATTTACGTATTACGCCAATGCTGGAGCGTAATGCGATTTGTAGTGGTATAGTTATAGGTGTAGTTAGATATAGTGAATGAATCAGGCAGAGTTGGCTCAATCGCGCGCTCGCAACAGTCGCGGTCTGTGCTGCATGGGCGCTGCACGCGAGCGCCGGAGAGATCGCAGAAAATGAGAAGAAAACGGACAAATTGTGACACATCACTGCAGCAAACCGCAGACCTGACGTTAGACAATGGCAATGCGGGCGGGCGTCATGTCAATATCGGCCTGATCCAGAGTGCAGACTATAGTATTTACGATCTGCGATTTGAAAATTTCCACACAGGGCCGCTTTAGGATAAATTTGAAAAAACGAGACTGATATGTCTTTTAAGATTGTCAGGCTGTGGTTTCTCTTTGTCTTTCTCATCCGCTCCACCAGCGGCGCAACATACGCCACTGTTTGCGAATGGTCCGAATAAATGTCTGTACCCACAGGACGAAGGTAGAAAATAGAGATTAACAATAAGGAAGTGTTAAATCGGATTCAGGTAAAACCAGCAGACACTCTTTGAAAAAATGCTTTGTTGGTGTGCTTTGGAGCAGACAGTATACATGTCTACGACACGTGTACTGGCGAAAGACTTACAATGCTAGTGCTCAGCAGCTAGTTGTAACAGCGCAAAAGTAGACAAATCGGCTCGCAAGCAAACATACATTGGGCTGGCGGATTCCTGCTTAGCTTTTTCTTCATTTTGAATATACTCATAAGCTCCATAAGGTTCCCAAATTTGTTTCACTATAGAATTCAGAAATACGGGCTATCATTTGGTATAGCCGATGCGCAAATGCACACACATCCCAGCTTGAAAACTCGAATCTGCTCCTCTTATAACTTCTTTTCTTTCATAATTCTCTCAATAGTTATTCTGTGTTCGGGTCCCATCTTCGATATGAGCACGGTGAAGAGATCAAGAAAATCTTAAACACTGCTGAAATTTGTTGATCAAAATGCGTTTTCGTCCATTTTGTGGGTAAGCAACCAGCTTGAGCACGTTCTAAGTACAACCTGATTTGTTGAGTGACAAATTATTTTCAAGCCGATTTCTTTCATAATCAAACTCGTGCAATTTGCAGAGGGAGAAGGAGAAAACAAACCAAACCCCATGGCACCGCTTGAAAAAGCAATCGTTAGTTGTCGTCAAGTTTCTTTGAGTCGTGAACAAGAGGCACGAAAGTTTTTGGAATCGGGTTGGTGATTGAAATAAAAATTCTTGCGTTGTTTGGTTTCTTGTTAGGGTTCAATAAAGCTCAATTTGACTTTGTTGCCAAACTTGTATACCACATACTAAGTGAAAATTTAACAAAGCAAAGCTCAGAAGGCTCGCGATATCTTTATTCTACAACTTGAGCTACCATGTTAGCAGCATCGCACCACTTGTCTCTATCTTCTAAATTCTCAAAACTTTGCAAACTTGTTGCGTTTTCGGTGTTCATATCGTACAGACAGGGTTCAGCCTCGAGATAGCCATTTGCGCTGATGTTACCTAAAGTCGACTGTTTGTAAATGTGTGAAAATATGGAGTGCCTTACCTCCTATTGTAACCATCGTCTTCTTCTGAGTCGGATCCCCACATGTCAAGGGCAGACTGAACCTGACAAAAGTGACGAGGGGGTAGCCAG